CCCCAAAACCCCAAAACCCCAAAACCCCAAAACCCCTGTGGCTCCATTTCTCTAGAACTTAATAATCTATATATTTTGTACTAAACAGGGAGTCATGGAGCCTACTTTTAGTCACCAAAGCCAGTCAGTCAGCAGGAGGGTAAATCAGGATTTACCTGCGCTTAGGTAGGATTTTAGGGATTTTAATGGGTTCTGTAGGGTTAAGAGGAAGTCGATTTATCATAAAAGTACACAGAATGGGAATGTTAAGAAGAGAGTAAGGGTCTCCCAGTTCGTAAAGGATGCTCTCCAGAAAGCAAGGGTTGATCTGAAATAATGATGCTGAAAATATGCTTATGAACAAAAGAAGCGGCTATAATCATGGTTTTTATCATGAAAACAATAATTTCTGGGATCATATTTCTAATTATGTTATCGGCAAGAAGGAGAATGGTTTATTTCATGATATTGTAAAAAGCCGTAAGGGAGAAAAGGAGATTAAGAACCTCTTAAAAACTACGAACCTGAAATAATCACGAGAACTCTAATATTATCAGAGCTTTGGTCTTACAAAAGCTCGTCTCACCCAATATGAAGAAAAAGTTATTTAAAAGTGGAAACGATAGGTAATTTCATGCTATACAAATTCCTAATAATTTTACAGGAGATTAACAGCAGAAGCTATAAACAGCCTGATCCACAGGAAGTCCAAAATTCATAATATTACGAAATCAGTGAAGAAAAATGGGATTTTAAAAGACAAATTCATTGAAAATTCTATGAAGAAGGTCCAACCAATGTTCATAGGGAGGAGAAATACGGCACTAATGAAGGCCCCTGCTTCAAGAATTTACTCCCAAGATCACTGAGTATGTTACAGTGATAATTATAGAACTCGCATCATTTTAGTGTAAAGTCTAATGAAACATTTCAAAGGGATGGTTCAAATTCTTCAATGAGAGACAGTATGGGAAAAGAGCATCCCAAGAGATTTCTATCCCCTGCTGTAGTTAGGAACAATGGGAAAAGCTTTTTCTCCACTCCAGGAGCAGCAGTTAAACCTAAAAGGACAAATTTCAGCCCATTTTCAGATAGTAAAGCTAATCAGTCAACGCTTTTGAGTGATGAGCTGCCAAATTTTAGGAATGCCTCTATTAAAGAAGGTGCTAAACATAATTTTAGTGTCAATACTCCGAAGAAGAGTCAGGGTGGCAATAAAGGTCCTTCTCGTCTAAAAGAAAGAATACGAGCTGGTACTAGCAAATTTAAAGCAAAAAGTATACATTCTGGGTTATTAATTGGCTCATTTGCCTTAAAACATTTTTGTCTTAAAATTTTAAGTCTTAAATTTCATATGAAGTTTAAGAATTTCTGATCCTATTTCAAGTACTCAAGAGAATATATGTTTCTTTGAAATAATTTAAGCAGAGCCAATTATGTTTTATGACAAATTTTGACTTCAATAGATGCTAATAATAAAAAGAAGAAGCAGTCAAGGAAGCAGCTGACTGATGATGTAGGGTTCTTGACTAACCTAGCAAGTATTTCTAATTATCAAGGTACTCTTAAGACTAACTTTTAGACATTTCAAAAAAGAATGAAGGTATTTAGCATTTTCTTCTCGACCATATTTGAGAAGTTCGATTATATTTTTAATGTAAAATATCAGCTTGATGTCTTTCGAAGCAAACTTAGAAAATTCAAGCATTTCAGAATCTTGCTCAAATAATTTACCTTTATAGATCACACCTCATCTGATAGTGACGATTACTTGGACGAGAAACTGGTCAGGCGGGTAAATATAGCATACAGTTTCAATAAAATATCAGCAGATCTTCTAGATAGAGTGTCACCAAATGCAGCAAAAGTTAATTCTCAAAATGTTTCCAAAAGAGCTATCCCAGCTCCTAGCTCAATCCTACCGGAGCTAAAAGAGCTTGATGGTTATAACACGAGTGAGTCCTCTTCTTCTATCTCCAATACGAGTGGCATTTCTCCTGAAAATCATAAAAATGACCCACCTCCACTTAAGAAAGTCAAGCTTCCAAAAACTACTAAGCCATGAAGCTTCTTCTTACACTCAAAGGGAAAGCAGGGCTTTCAGAAAAGGAAAATTAAAATTTAGATTTTATTGATAAATATTCATTGTAATTGGATAAACATAATTATTAGGTTATTAATAAGATAAGAAGGCAGGCAAGGAGGTTTATTCGTAGAAATTAGGCAATATTATTAGAGGAACAATTGAATCACTTATAGCCTGATTTAAGGAGCTTTCCAAAATTATTCTTAGCCTAAAATAATCTTTTATTCACTGTTATATATAAAAAGCGCTAAACTTTGGAACTAATTTGCCAACACCGCTCATATTCCTTTCCCACAAATGCTTTTTTAACTATTCCAAAACATATAAACCCTAAAACCCGGCCTGGACTCATTCTGAACAATTTCTGCCCTCTCCTCCACCTCCAAATAAAGTTATCTACCTAACCTCATACGTCTCTAGCCCTAAAAATAGCACAAGGTTTATAATATCGTCAACATTTGGTGATAAATAAGGGGTTTTGGGGTTTTGGGGTTTTGGGGTTTTGGGGTTTTGGGG